GGCTTCCAGAAGCGTCTGCAGCAGCCTTGACATTCCGGCCTTTCTGTCGGCAGCGTCCTGACGAGCTGGGCTGACGGTAACGAGGTCCCGGAGGAGCTTCAGGGAGGATGAGGCAGAAGGAGCCGGCCTCCGTTTGAAATCCCAGCAGTCACCTGTTGCAGGAAGCAAACAGCTTCCTACGTGCCTCTGCAGCTCAGCTCAGGTGGGAGCAGTATGTGCATTTACTCCCCCTGGCCAAAACATTAGGACCCGCCTTCACCACTGCCACTGGGTAACATGTCTCGGACCTCTGTTGCACTGAAAACATAATTCATGAAAACGTCACTGATTTTCCTTTGATTAGACTGGAAGACTTTGACATCATGTTGCACAAAATCTTTTACATTTAATTGTTCCTTTTAGAAGTGAAAATATAGATGGGGGATTTAATTTTTCGATTATATATACTGTATGTAAACTTTGTATACAGTATATTGTTTGCGATACCTTGGCGCAAAAATTAATGGGCTTACTTTTTTCATTATGGCAGCATTTTTTTTTTTTGCATTTCCAAATTACTGACAAGTTTGCTAGTACAACTACAGTTGCTGCATTGCAAATGGTTGCATATCTGATGAACTGTGTGACTGATTGCAATTGCCTTGGAATATTATATTATCGTGTAATAACCAGAGAGGGGTGGGCTGGTTATTTCATAGGATGATCTTTTTTGTTTGGTAAACAATTGCTGCTTTGTATGAAAACTGACCCTATGTGCAGTGGCCATGTGAAGTTGACCTCCTGTGACCCCTGTGTACAACAGGCATGAGGGGATGACCTCCCTTGAACCCTGTGGTCTCTTCTGATCTCTGTGATCACCTTAATTCCTGGCTTTTCCTTCAGATCAGGCTTGCTGCCTTCCTCCACACTGCGGGTGACTGACACCTGTGTTATTAGAACGCAGGCTCTTCTAAATGTCACTCGCTGTCCTGGGGAAGGTCTGGGGTCTTTTGCATGAATATTGGCAAGATGCTGTCACATTGCAACCTAAGAGATTTTTTTTTAAGGAAACATCCATGATTCATGAACTAATTTGTGAATATTTTTCATATTGAATATTGAAAAAGAAACTTTTAACAGATTTGCCCACAGCTTTGAAGTGTGGTTTCATTGCATTCTGTTCTTATCGAAGCAGGACATAATTTCTTTTGGCAAGTTCTGATTTGCTGGGTTGCAAGGGTTTTAGCATTTTAAAAACTGCCTCTTTACGATCAGAACAGAGCACAGACACCCAGAGGAAAACAATTGAGTCAAATGTCTGAAAGGAAATCAAATCAGTATATACTGGCTCTTGGAGTAATTGAAAAAGCTTAGATTCAGAAATTTTATATGCAGATCGCATCTTCAAAAAGTGGTGACATGGGGTGTGAATTAAAGTATTTTGCATGGTGAACAGAATACGTGGATTTGGGGTCTGTGCTATAGCTCCAGCAGAAGGTTCTGAGGCTGCTTCTGTAGCATATGGGCTCTAGTTTGCAATATCCAAACAGAAAAGCCTCCTCACTTCAGTTGTAGCTGAGCTCTTGGTAGCCGAATTGATTTTTTTCTTAATTACACCAGCATAAAATTGATCCCAAACATTAGTCAACGGACTGTGTCCAAAGATTTCCAAAACCTGATGGGATGAATCTTTTGCGCAAGCCAGCGCCACTCCAAACTGCTCTGGCCCTTTCAGGCAAAGAGGGAGAACGTCGTGCAGTACATGGAGTTATTCCACATGTGCGGCGATGGAGCTGAACTTGCTGCCAGCGCTTGCCCCCACCAGGGGCTTGCGAATGGTGCTGATCTGTGCTAAAGCATTTCTCCGTACTCTGCAATCACAACATGGCATAGGATCGCCTCCCTCTCTGTGTGTGCGTTGCACATTGATGCTTAAAAGGCAGTGTTAAGAAAAGAGAATGTGCTGGTCCATAGATATGGAAAATGCCACTGAAAGCAATGAAGGTCAGCAGTTCCAGTTTCTATGGAGATGATGTTTTTTTTAAATCGTCTTCTTCCCCTGACGTTCTGTTTTGATTTATGATTTGTACATTTGTCCAGGCTTTGCCTTGGTATATCTCCCTGACTGAAGTCTGTAATGTCATCGTTTAATTTCTTGGTGGACTGCTTTAAAACAATAAACACAGTGCGCCTGCAGTACATCTATTTTGTGTACATTTGCACACACGTAGCATTGTACTTTATTTGTAGTACGGGCTGGTACTGTATGTACTGTATGTGTTGGCTTACAGATGTAAACAGTTTTCTTTTCATTGGGATGTGTAAGTAGCGCATCTTGTGCAATGGAGTGGTATTTAAACTTGGCTTTTAAAGATGTTTGGCCCACTTTTTTTTCCTCTGTTGGCAAACTCATCATTCCATTGTCACATAAATGAGATGATCGGCTTCTTTGCGGTTTGGCCAAAGAGCAGGCTGAGCCCCTTTTTATTTAATTTGATTTGTTTTGGTTTTTAAATGCCCATCAACAGGCAAACTGCACTTTTGTACAGCTTCAGTCATCTTATTTTGGAAAATAAAGCGTTAGTCTTGATTAGAGTGAAAGAAATGCACATTTTATTGATACTTTGCAGCAAAACATAACAAGTGTCACATTGAACAACTGAAAACGAACAAGAAGTCTTTGCCTATATACAGAAGAGCCGTTTTACAAATTCCAAAATTATGTACAAAACAAGAGAATGGTAGACCACACTTTGTTAGGTTAAAGTTGCCTTATAATACTGTACAAAAGGATAAAGAGGTGAAGTGCCAATTTTGTCAGTGAATTCCAAACAGGTGTCAGTTGAGCCCAGTAGTGAAGGTCCCATTCTGCTTCACTGTAATCACACTTAGAGATTTCTGCAGTCTTCCTGCAAGAAAGCACTGCAGTTGATCTCCTAGGTACTCGGAGGAAAAACAAAATTATTGCCTTTGCAAATCTAGCTTCAGTATGAAATTTGGATTTTAATAGCAGGGATGGTACGATGCCTTGTCTTTGTCTGCCCTTTGTTTCTGCTTTCCTCAGATAATAAGGGCAGATCTATCCGCGGTGTGGAGGGGCGGTCAGGGCTCTGCGATCTGAGTGTGTGCTTGTGGGGTACTTCACTTCACATTGCTCACGTCAAATGCCCAGCTGAGTAAATGGGTACAGATGTGAGTCACTTTGGATCAAACCATAGGATAACATAATTATCAAGGTACCCTGGGCGAAAGTATAATCTGAGACTGTGCCTTTGGAGGTTTTTAAATGCCAGTTTGGGATTCCTCTGTTTTATGGAAAGACAAGACGCAGTTAAAGACACAAGTGCATGCAATACAGGATTACAACGCTGATTAGAAATGTCATTGACATGAACCTGCAGTGCCTCTGTTTTAAATGGGGGCGCTGCTCGATTGAAGTTTATCACAACAATAAAAGAATTAACTCCCAGAGAAACAGAGTACAATACAGCAAAATATTCAAAGCACAGTAAAAGCAACAGTTCGGATAAAATAGACTTTATTTACAAGGTACAACAACATTCAGTTTGAGAATGGGTTTCTTCACATGGACAAGTGCTGCATTTGGAAAAGGGCACTGAGGGTCAGCGAACAGGGGCCGGTCACTTAGAGAGATGGGACTTAATTTTGATGTGTGATAACATGTAGGCTTATGTCTGCTGTAGCACTAGCTTGCGATTGTAACTTACCACACTACAAAAAAGCACTTTGACATCACCTGAGCTTTTGTCTTCACGTTGATGAATTCTGGGGAGAGGAGGAGGAGGAGGTTCTCCAGTGACAGTTCATTGATGTTTTCTCATAAGTCGCTCTAGCAGTTCACAGGATTTTCACTTTTATTAGGTATGGGGGCGTCTGTCAGTGTCAGTTATTCAGCGTGAACGGTACAGAAAGCAGATAATTTCACCTACAGGGTGAAATGCAGCGAAACGTTAAATATTCTCTGCTTGAAGTAGCACCTCTTGTATCGCATATTCTCCTTGATGGATGCTTCTGATTTCTCTCTCCCGTCTTTCCTAGCTGATGCGGGTCAGCGCCTGTCTCACTCCGAGTGTTTCACAAGAGTCTTTGCACTCGGGTGCTAATGGGAGGTGGAGACATCTGTGTCCGCAACACATGTGCTGTTTTCCCCCAAAAGCGAGAAGAGCATGTTCTCCTTGCAGTTAGATCACACCTCGCCCCCGTGTTTCCTTCGGAAGGGCTGACAGATGCCCTGCTCTTTTGAAGAGGGATCATCATGCAGCCTGTTGGCCGTGTGTGTGCGCGTGTGTCTGGACACCTCCCATTTGCAAACATTGGCTGGGTCATGGTAATTATTTACTTAACATGCATGTAATTCACGTGTCACTGCTCAATCTGAGAAAGAAAATGCATGCAAAGAAATGGCTTTTCTATGCTGCTATGCTGCAAAGCTGCAGCCTGCTTTGATCTTGAAAGCAGAGTAGAACAGAGAAGTTTACTAGGTGGGAAGATGTGCTGTACTTCTCTGGCTTAATATTGATCCCCTGTGCCTGGCTTCATGCAAACTGAAGCCAAATCCGCCATCCACGGGTTTGAAACTGGTCTCACTTGCTGTTGCATTATTGATATTGATAAAAGCCAAATTTAGTAAATCAATTTGAACCCATGTACAGTACATCAAAATGCATGAAGAGGAGTGAGAACAGAGCTTTCCTCTGTACTTGGTTTCTGATGGAAAATGCACCTTGTGCACTCTGTATGGAGTGCATTGGAAATGCATGAGGTGATGATTTGCAGTTCTGTACAAAAAAAGCTTTGGCTAAAGAAAAAACTGTTTAAAATCTTGGACCAATGATGCTGTAGTGCAAGAGCTCTTGTGCTATAAGCTTATTTTACTGCACTTAAAAAGAGTCCATTTCAACAATGGGGTACAAAACTTTTCCTCCCCATTTTCCTTTGCAGTGCAGAATATATAAATAATCAAGTTAAATTGAATTTTATCCCAGCGGAATTGGAAACGTGGGATATTTTGGGTACATTGGCCATTGTCGATAAATTTCACATACCCTGTCAACTCTTCAAGTGAGCTATACACTGGGAGGAATCCTTTTTTATGACTAGAACGTTCGCACTGGTTTCTGGGAAAGGCTCATGTCGCGGATCAGTGGATTCCGGGGACTGGAAACCGAAGCGTTAACGGATGATGGGCGCTCTCCAGACAAAGTGGCAGAAAGGACTGCATCTCTGTGCCGGTGGTCCTCTGGGATGTGTGTGTACAGGGGAAAGGGGTCCACGGTATTCTGGGCTGGAGAAGCCTAATAAGTGGTCTCCTTGATCATATTGGTGGAGAAGGTGTGGTTGCTGGAGATGCTGTTGGAGTGTCTGGCCATTGCAGGCTGCTTCCTCCTCCTCCTCCTCTGGCAGGGCAGGCAGAAGAAGCTGAGCGTGGACAGGAAGATCTGCCTGTAGTTGGCCGACACGAGGTTGTACAGGATGGGGTTGATGGTGGAGCTCACGTAGAAGAGGACATTGGTCACCATGTAGAAATAGTGGTAGAAGTCGTACAGGAGGCTGAAACACAGAAGGGCAGCTTTCTCACCAATGTACTGCACGATCCAAGTTCACATCCAGCTATGCGTTTATGCGTTTTAGAGTAGTTATTTTTATCCAAAAGGATTCGGAAATACTTTACATAGAGGAGAGGAGACAGCAGCCACAAGTAGCGCCACAGCACAGCTCATCAGCTGGAGACCTGAGAAAGTGGTTCTCCAGTTGAATTATAGGGTAACTTTATGGAGAGTAGCGGAATGACCCCAGGACACTGGGGCGAACACCCCCACTCTCGTGAAAAGTGCAATGGAATTTTTAATGGCAAAATATTCAGGACCTTGATTTAACAGCTCAGAACAGCAGCTACTACAGCACTGTGTCCTCTAAAACAAAGGGAACCCTACGTCCAGTCCAGAGAATTGGGTTGTTGTCAGATTTCTCCTGTCCCTTTAATAACCAGGCACAACCTAGTTAAATCGTGCCGACAAAGGTGGCTTAAAAATGGTAACAGTGCTGCCTATATGCAGTCTAGCTGTGGTGTTCCTGGTGAGGATCTTTTCCGGATCTGGACTCATTGAAGATTATTAAGTTGCGGTCCTCCGGTACAGGCAGATAGTAACGAGGGACTACTCTTGAGTCCCACAGAATGTGAAAACACTGCTACATCGTATTGGCTTAAATACCAGTCTAGGTTCTACAATATTACATCAGTGGAGCGTAAGACGTTCCACACGCAATACCCTTGTCTAGAGTCTACAGGGAAAGCTACAGGACTCCTTCCACTGCATTTCATACATTAACAATCACGAATAACTGCAAAAGAAAGACTCTTCTACACCTTGTCCTGGTGACATCAGTTTCTGTCAGTTTGCATTTCAACTGACTTCCCCATTACTTCTTTAAATCCCTATTGGAATTAAGGACGTGCTTGATTAGATCTTTTTATTGGTTCCAGCAGCTAATAAGTTGATTTAGGTGTCATGTTTAATTTGAATTAAAATGTGATCTGTGTGACTACTGCGTTTTTGAAGGAAAATAAAACTCAAACGGTTGGACAGATGAAAACATGATGTAAAGACTCGCTCGTTCAGTTAAGAGATCAGTAATTAGGAGGTCAAATGGAAGAAATGCCATGAAGTGACTCTGATCTGGTTCCTGCAGGCTGGATTCAGGAAGCTCTCTTGTCAGTAAAATTTTGTACTGTGGTTCATGAAAGGGAAGTTCGAATAGCTGGCACCTCTGCTTTAGCTTTGCAATTGGCAAGTTCCCTGCATTATCTTACGATGCATGATGGCAAGGCACAAACAGCAGATGTCACAAGTATAGACAGAACATACTGTACAATACCAGCGAAATGATTTTTTAGGCTAAAATTTGGATTTCATAATTTTCTGGAACAATGCTTGCTTTAGTCTACGAAATTGAAGCTTCCACTATTTCAGTCGATGTTGTCCAAGACACTACTCTTTTTTATCCCCTTTGATTCATCCTCTCCTGACTCTTGTACCTTTGCTGGAACTCTTGTAATTGTCTGCTCAGGTCAAGGTGAACTGATGCACTCGACGGTGGTTTCTGCAAGTGCTCTACTGACTTCTTGCTTCATGGGAGCTCACTGATTATTAAGCATCATCATCAGCGCCTGCAGATCTTTAAACTGCGAAATGAAGATCGAGCCCCCCTTTTTTTCCTCGCTTTTTTCCCCCTCCATCCTGCTTCAAAAGCAGCAGTTGCAGGTGTGGCAGTGAATCTCAGCCTGATGAACCTGCACAGGGCCTGGACCGTCCTCCTGCAGTGTTCACGCTGTGATCATGACTGGAGTAGAGTCAGCAGGGTACTTTTGATTTTGACACAGAATCATTTTTTTTATGCTGACTTTTACCTGGGGGGTGCAGATGTGCTGAGGGTTCAGGTCTAGTCTGAGGTAGTTAGCAAGACCAGTAGGAAAAAGTCCTGAATGTGGCATGGGTCAGACTCATGCTAATGAGGCTGATGCATTTGGGCCATTCTGAAACATGCCACTGCTGCTTTACAGCTCCCAACTTTGAGTCAACCCCCACCCATCATTCTATGTGGAGTTTGCATGTTCTTTCCCAATTTGTGTTTTTTTTTCCCCTGTCACTTCCTCCACAGTGTTGCTACTTTGGTCTGATCTCGATGTTTTTTTTTAAATATTTTTTTTGTCTTTGCCCTTTATTTATTGTAACAACGGGGAAAAAGCAGCATTGGTTTGTATCACGTTGACATTTAACAAAACTATTTTTTTAAAAAACCCGAAAGATGAACAAGTTGCATAATCATCAAGCTAATGGGAAAACGTGCACTGTTCTTATCTGACTCATGTCTCCAGCTGGCCCTTTCATGTGTGAAATACTTAGTTTTGCATTCATATTCGTTACCATAATGAATGGTCTGATCTGCAATAATAATTCCTTGATTTGTTTTCTTACTCAGAGCTGCTTTTGTCAAAGGCAGTGGTATTTTGAAAGGTGCCCTTTAAACCAGCCGTTTTAGAATCACTGTTCAAAAGAAAACCTGCACCTTCAAAGGTATTATTCTTCTGTGTGTATGTTTGTTTTTTTCATCGGGCCATTACAACATTTTAAAAAGGCCATTTCCGAAAACTCGAAAGCACTTCTGCTCTGGATCATTGCAGAAAGCCTCCTGCTGCTTCGCTCCTATTAGACCTGGTCACACCTTGCTGTGTCTAATCAGGCTGCCGCAGTCCTGACCTGGAGGCCCATTAGAGCTCTTTGGGATGCTGCCCGTGTTGAGATCTAACCCTCTGTGGCTTCTGTCCGAGCCACACGATGCCACAGTGTGTACTCTGGACAAGTGTGGAGAATTCCGGCCCTGCACAGGAATGTCTAATTGGGCTGCAGGTGCTGCTGATTGCTCAGAGCTTGCAGCACAGTCCTGGTTGACATCATTGAGAGCAACCAAAGAAATGTGATGCATTTACCGTGCAATCCTCTTTTTAATATATTCCAACGGGAAGCCCTGCATGCCTGCCACCAGCAGGTTTGGAACACGGTGCTGCTGGGGTAATGGCTCCTTCATAGCCTCAGAGTTTCTTTGCGCTTCTATATCTCCGCTGAGTGTCAAGATGGTTGTGCAGCCTTAAGTGAGAGGGGGCCGATGTCTTAGATCTAGCTCTTGTCCATAGAAGAAAGACAAACTGCTTAAAAGGTGAAACATGTAACATGCAGTCAGTGTGCGTCTTCTGGTGCCAAGTGTGCTGGCATTGTCACATTGGCGAGACAAGGACAGACCCCAGAAGTGTGAAACACACCCGCGAAAGGCTGGCATTGCCAGCGTCGTTACACTGAGTCGCTACACTCAATCTGGTGTGATTTAGCTGGATTCAATTCACACAGTCTGGATCTTTTTCTAGACATTGCAAAGTGCTGCCTTAGGTTCGTGGTGCAAAAGAAGTCACTTGACCACAAGTTCAGTGGCGATCAAAAGTATAGAAATAAGTGTATTTACTCTGAACTCTGGAATGAAGGTGTGCAATTAAGGTGCTCATTCAACTAATCATGAGAATTATTAAAACAATTGTTGCACTGGAGGCCATTTAAGTGCATCAAAGCAAAGGGGGTAAATACATATACAATCAATTACTGTATTTTCTGTATTATAGAGGTACTTAACTAGTTTAAGAGGATCTGTAGAATTTTGTTTTCACTTTGGCATTATGGAGTGTTTTGTGTCAATCAATGGCAAGAAATCCCAATTAAATATATTTTATTCTGTATCATGAAAAAGTCCAAGAAGGGGTGAATACTTTTGATAGCCACTTTGTTATTGTTCAGTTTTGTTTGTATGATGGCAGTCATGTCATCTTGTCTATAATCATGTATTGTTTAGTATTAATCTTGGTGGAGCTCTAGTTGTTTATTACTTCTTGGCTAACCCAGGTTATTTCCCATCTGGAGTCTGCACAGCAGATTACTCTTGATCAGTTGTGTTTTTCATCTTGTCATTTTTAGATCTATTTCACATTTCCTGAATAAAATATAACCTTGTCCTGCTACATTAATTCTAGTTGTTGTCTTACATTTCCCTTGGGTTTTTTACTTTCAAAATTAAATAAATTCCTGCATTTTTTGGATCCTTAACAATGAGAGCTGTCAATCACAAATTACAGTGGGAAAGTGGTCATTTAAAACAGCGGTGCCCTGTGCTGCCCTCAAGGATAATTGGATTGAACCTGCTGTAGGAGATGGTCAAATGAAAAGGGCTTTGGTTCACATTTTAAGTGCAGTAAAGTAATGCTGTCTGTGGGGAAAAATAGAAGGTTGTCTTGTGTTTTCCCCCATGAATGTTACTTTTAACTAATAGTCTAACATTTTCAGCTCAGCCAACTACAGAAAGATCTAACTAGTTATGGGAGCAGTGAAGCAGATTTGTGATAATCATGGCATCTTTTAAAACACAATGGATATGGAACATCTGACGTATTGCATTTAATTTATACCGCACAACAAAATAATAATAATAATAATAAAACTTTATTTTATCTAGCACCTTTAAAGGTGGCTTCTCAAAGCGCTTAAAATCTCGATTGAAGGTTCCAACACGGACCTGTCAGCTGAAGTACACGTTGCACAGACTGAAAGTTTCTTTTTTTCTGAAGCAGGAGGAATGGTGGAAAAAATATTCCTATTGTTTGTTCCATTTGAGGGATGCACACTGTGAACCTAAAACCTTTTGAAAGTCTTGCAGTGTTCTGAGACATTAGCCCAACTGGTGCACCAAACATGACATACAGAGAGATGTTAACTGAATTGTCTCAGCACTAACATTTAGAGGACTTGTTGGCCTTCACCCAGGTCGGCCATTCAATACCACTTGGTGCCAGATAACAGTTGATTCCTAAGTTCTCTATTAGCCTATAGGCTTAAAACAAACTGGAGATCGTGGGAAATAGTTTGGCAGATTCTAGTATGCATGCTGTGCCGAAGAACGTTGCATGGAGGACAGGTTTCCCCAGCATCTTTGCCATTTTCCCTTTGGTGACGGTAAGCAGGATAGATTGGTTGCATGCCGACCCTGTGAGGTTGTGGAGATATATGTGGTGCAGTTTGGTTTGGGAGGCCGAAGGCGAGATGGGGTGACAGGGCTCGTGGCCTGGTTAACGTCACTGGGACAACAGAACCACAGAGGCAAGGCCGTGTTGAGAGAGAGCAGCTGCCGGTGTGTGCCACAGCCGTCTCGGCAGACTGTGACAAGAATGTGAAAGGACAGGCTCAGCATTAGCCCAGGAGTCAGAACCCGAGAGCAAATGGAAAGGCTGACCAGCTCTGCTTAATGTAATACCATTCGTTTCATCTACTTAGAGCTGAAAATATACTGGGTGCTTGGCAGACAAATAGGACGAGCAGCAATTAATCGGTTTATTTCTGTCACAGATGTAATAACCATAATTCAGGCAATCTTGTCCTCTTTTTACTAGACCTTTGAAGAGTAAATGAAGTGATTAACGGTGGTCTGTTAATGCAGCAGAAATCGGAGAGGTTCAAAATGTTTGTTTTAATTCAATGCAACAAAATATCTAATTTAGACTGTTGGACAATGTGACACTCTTGGACCTAGAATAATGTTCTTTTTCTTTCTTTTCAGCTGTATAATTGACATTTTTCTGCTCTTACAGACTCTCAGTTTGGAATAGTCTGTCCTGTACAGCACAGGGGTCATGGCCTGTGTATCATTAATCCAACACACCTGCCTGCCTGACTACTGGAAGGATTGGAGCTTCTGTCACTACCTCCTGTCTGTATTTTTAAAAAGGCATCCAAATTCTAGTCTCATTTATACAGTAGCAAGCCCCTGATAACAGTTGATATGGCAGAGTAATTTCTTTCATCCTTGCATCTCTAAACTGCATGTCCTTTCAGAAACAAAGCTATTCATGAGAAGTCCTGAGGTTGAAATAAGATCAAAGACAGTCACTTTTTCTTAACTCTGTTCAGCCTGAGCTGAACTTACAAAGGCTGTTAGGCCAAATTGCATTTAGCTTTAAAAATCAAGTAAGTTATGTTATATATGTATATAACCATCATACCAGGTCTTTAAATCTTGTTAAAAGTTAGCATTAGTAACATTGAATAATTGTTTTTCGTTTTTTGCAAAATTTGTGTTGGATGTTATGCTTTGTTTGCCTTGAGTATAAACCTTTTCCTTCTAAGAAACAGAGCAGCACCGAAACCACAGACTTAATCATGTTGCATTGGTTTCCAGTTCTCGAACTCGATGTCTTAACAAACCCTTGGTTATCTGTCACCCCCTCCTTTAGTCTGAAGTAGCCTTTCCTCTCTGCCAAGGAGGGTCACCAAGAACAACTAATAATGCTGTGTAGCATGGCCAGCATCTCCAGCCTCTTCCAGGAGCACTTACTCTGTCCAGTGGGTCACGTAGCAGTACATGAGACGCCGAATGTGATAGGGAAGCCAGCAGACCACAAACGCTATCACCACAGCTCCTTAAAGGAAGGAAAACAAAGGAAATATCAGATTGTGGAACAACTGGCAGAAATTCCTTCTCCTGTGTGTTGTGTGAGAATCCTTTCCTGTCTAGACTTCAGTGTCTTTACACTAGTCATTTTTAAAACCTGAAGCCAGGAGGCCATGCACCTGTCTTTCTCACTTGTTTGCTGGTATTTAGTCAAGCTGAGGTTCTTGCCCAGCTGCTTTTGGAAAGCTCTGATGGTGTCATCTTCAGCAACGTGGTCGTTTGGACATTCGGCAACCTGACACCCATATTCAGTTCATGCCCGGAACCCGTACGCTTAGAAAGAGAAAAAAGGAAACATGCAAACTCCTTGAATGTCTGCTTCTGTGCCAGGTGTCCCTTTAAAGGCCCCCCAGTGTGCCCTCAGGGTCCTGCTCTCCTCTGACCACAAGCACACGGTCCGCGTTATCGATTGGTTTCTGGCGCGGATGCTTGCCTGTAATAGACAGGCTTGTTCGTACAGCACACCCCACCCTGCACGGTCATTTCCTTGCTCAAGCGTTTGAAGTGACCTTTAACTTTAATAAAATAAGGCCAGAAACTGGGCGTGTGGCACAATCATAGCTGATGGTAGAGTTTCAGCAATAAACTTGATTTAAAATAATTGAATGCTGTTTCCTTTAAAGTAAGCTGATTAGGGCTTTTTGGACTATCGCATCCTATTAGGTGAAATACAAAATGTCTCTCAACCAGTTGTTAACCAAGCCTGCTGATCCTTCAAGAAGGGGAGTCTTTTCTCCTTTACTAAGGAGTTTTTGGTTCCTCTCCCCCGTTGTCTTCTGGTCTACTGTTCTGTATTCACAAAATGTATGATTACTTGCATTAAGCGCCATGGGGCAACCTTGTTGCGAAAGGCACTGCATAAAAATACATTGAATTGAATTGAATTATGCCGTTATGCCTCATCAATTGTTTTGTGGGCAGAAGGGTTTCATAACAGCTCTTGGGCCTTGAGTTCCAGGTTAGGTTCTGGCCTGGGATCCTGTTTACATGGAGCTGCTTGATTTGTTCTCTGGTGCTCTGGTTTCCTCTCCCCTCCCCTCTCTCAACCGAGAGAGGACAGATGTGTTAGATCTAGCTCTTGTCCGTGGAAGAACAAAGACAAACTGTTTCAAATGTGAAGCACAAGTAACATGCAGTCAGTGTTGGTCTTCTGGTGCCAAGTATGCTGGTGTTGTCACATTGTGGTGTCAGGAGTGGGATGTCACCAATGGGATGTACGTACCCCAGTGGTTTGACAGACTGTTGTGACCTGGCTAACTGGTGCCTTTCAGTGGTCACATAAGGCACATAAAGGGCATGTCAAGTGCAGGCCTATTCTAATGCACGGAAATATTTTGCAATATACATAATTATGTTGCTGTAATTGGTGGTATGATGGCGCATATGGCGCTATGAGGCCAAAGAAGTTAGCACTGCTGCCTTGCAGCACTGGGGCCCTTGGTTCAGGGGTGCTATCTGTGTAGAGTTTGTACATTCTCCCCGTGTTCACGTGGGTTTCCCCGGGGTGCTCTGGTTTCCTCCCACAGCCCAAAGACATGCTAGTAGGTTAATTGGCTTCTGGGAAAAATTGGCCATGCTGTGGGTGTGTGTCTGTGTCTGTGCCCTGCAACAGACTGGCGCCCCCTTCAGGGTGTACCCCGCCTTACGCCTGTTGTTGGCCGGCACAGGCTCTGGCTCCCCCGCGACACTGACTTGGATGAAGCAGTTGGAATATGAATGGATAGATGGTACTAAATCTATCAGTCTAGGCGTGCTGCCTTTATATTCTGGCTGGTTTCAATGCTGCATTTCTTTGTTGCTTTACGCCAGTGCACAGCCTTCTTCTGGTTGTCTGCAGAGAGGCAGCAAACTCATTCGCATTCAGCAGTCATTCCTCCCAAGATAAAAAGGTGAATGCATTGTAGCTTTGAAAACCGAGTGCAAGATCTTATTTCCCGAGAGGCATTTCATTCTCCCACTGAGTGTGTTGAAGCAGATGGACCACATCCTCATAAATTTCGAGAAGTGCTTCAGAGAAGGTTCATCCTGATATGAAATCAAAGATTGTTTTATTGGACATGTTTTATTTTTGCAGCTGTTTTCAGGATAGAGGTTGGAAAAATCTCTGGGTTTGAAATACCTTGAGTACAGCCCTGCGCCCTGAGAGGCAGAAATGGTGACAGAGATCCTGGGGAGGTGGGTTGAGATCTACAGATCCATGGAGGAGCTTCAGGAAAAGGCAACAGAGGGGCAGAAGTGGTTTATAAGAGCAGCACACAAGTTCTTCTATATTTGCTTTATTCTAATAAACAGGCAGCCTTGCTCTAAAATGCTCTAATGCTGTAGCACTTCAAGGATCTTTCCATAAACATCCAAGATAGCATGAGATTTATTAAATGAGAAAGTATTCTATACGTTACCAACATACCATTCGAGCCCCAACTTCTGTAAGTCATTTTTGTTTGCAGTCGTATAAAAGAAATGATAATCTCAAGATTGGATACTATGCATCAGAGGTCTGGAGCTTTTGCATTTCCACGCTTTCTATCAAATTTGAAGTCCATAGTGCATATCCACTGGGTAACAATGCCCAGATTCCAGATTCCTCTTTCATGAGGCATAAATTGGGCATTGAGAGAAAAATTAATGGGCAAAAATAGCTAAATTCTCCAAAAAGAATGCACTGGCAAAAGTTTTCTGTTGCACCTGTGATCTGTTTCCTCAGAGCTTAAGTTGAACTCTGTCCTTCTGGCTGTCTGTGAGCTCAGGCCCGTCTGCAGGAAGCAGTGCATTGATAGTAGATCACCACTAGGGGGTGGGGTTGGGCCTAGTGGACTAGGAAAACTGGCTTCTACTACTCTACTCCCCAGAAACATGCAGGCTTGCAGTGACATCAGTGAGAGACGGACTGTTCCTCCAGTTGGTGCCAAGCCTCCTGTTGATCGCTGTAGAGCTCAGATCTCCCACAAGGGAAATGGCTCTGTACAGGCAGGTTCGAGGAATGTCTGACCATGCTTGTGCTTATGTACACAGTCATAGTTTGCTTACAGGAATTGGCTCTGACTCCCCCTTGACCCTGAATTGGAAGAAGGAGTTAGAAAATGGCTGGATGGATGCACTTCTGTGTCCCTGGAAACACAGGCAGGATATTACTGTTAACCTGTGTGCCACAGTGAGTTGTGTCTTTGAGGCTTGGGAAAAGATGCTGGAAAAAGTCCACAAAGCCCATCGCCTGCACAGAGGCTTGCCGACCTTGAAACAGAGGACGAACTTTCATCTTTAAAGTTACATCTGAAGAAATGTAACTTACAGCAGCGCACGAGAAACACGAATTTGCTTTTTACATTCCAAATGAGAAAGAATGAGATAAGAAAATGTCAGCCTGTGGCCACTGGCATGCCTTGATGTGTGCTTGGGAAACAATGCTAACAGATGGTGCTAGCAGCAATATGTAAGACGGCACACGTTTACCATGAAGAACAGATCAGTCTGAACGCTGAAATGCTCAGAGGTCTGCGACGCATGTGAGGCGGTTTATTCAGGGGTTCCCTTGCCAATGTCTAGCAGCTGTCATGTGTGTTTAACAGAGCTCTGCGCCTTCAAAAGCAACACAAAACAGAAGGTGCTTCCGTCACTCGAATCCGTCTTTATTACGGGCCGTGCCCTTGAATTTTATAAGCTCCACTACAAGCATAGTTTCAACAGTCGGCTGCCAAGCAGAATCTTCTCTTGGAAATGTGAACCACTTTTCATTCATTGCTTTCAAGTAGCAGCTGAAAAACTATGGATCTCCGCAAACAGAGCTATTAACACGACCTGCGAAAGAGACAAGGCCACTCAGCCTGTCAAGTGGAGGGACCTTGTGCGAAAATCAGTAGAAGCCATCACAGTACATGATGATCCGGAAAGGTAATGGTCAGTTTGCTGATTTTCGACATGATTTCAACATTTTTATGGACTCTGAGTACCTTCTTTAGTTGGAAGAATGCAGTCTTATAGTGAAATGGCAGCCTTGAATTGGCAAATTAGCTTTTGCGCTTGACAGTACTTAAATAAAATTGCCACTGGGGTTAGCAGTAAATGGGTCGCAGTGTAAGCTGTCTTCCAATGTACATGAAGGCTTTTAAAGTAAAAGAAGCATAAAAATGAATGAATCACAGAACAAATAGAGCTTCCTGCAGTATGATTTATTACTCCTCTTGCAGCATTAGAATGTACTGTATCCTGGGGGTACATTTATTTCTCAGCTGCTTGGCTTATTTTTGCTATAAGGTAAACTCAACCTCCAAAAAGTCCTTTCAGCATGATCGGCAGAGAGACGCTAATACACTCCCACACAGTAGCCTGGAATGGCCCTGAGATACAATGGATGAAAATTGTATCTCACATTGTGGGTTCACAATGCAATGAAGGATATTGTCAAGGCATCTAGATGTGTCCAAGCAAGTGTTGCAGCATTTTGCAACCGTTTTCATGCGGTTTGTGCAGCTGGAGATGATACTGAAGGGGTTCTCACCTGGTTCTCTGAAGTGAATCCTGATTTACATTCAAGTTGTGCAAAACTGATGGACCTCAGCATGCTCTCGTGATGATAACTTGTGTTCAAAGTACAGTGCAATGTCCTTTGAGGAATAATGTATCTTTTCATGTTGCATTTCATCTCTAAAACTGATTTGGATTTGCATTCATTGCTAAAATGCAAAACACTGATGTTTTTACAGTGAAAGAGGGCGGTACGCGGATACAAGATGGCGGTTCTTGTCTAAACCACATTTCCCAGAAGGCAGTGTAGGAATAAGTTGCCATCCTCAGTCACATGACGTTGGAAGAAGACAATTGGTTGGGTGACATCTAAAAGTGTAGGTTTCCATTGTCGGTCTCAGTCTGTTGCCTAAGCAAAGCATGAGATCTTTTCGTATGCACAGCACCAGTGAGAAGAGAGAGGGAAGAAAATGTCCAACCAACTGTCCAACTTGTGGAGCTTGGGATTTCCTCAGTTATTTTGGAAATTGGTTTTGCCAATGTTCCAATGATCCCATCCAGCTGTACCTTAAAGGGAGCCAGGGTATTGGCTTCAAAAACCTGTTCCATAATCCCACAACCCTTTATACTCAAAGGTGATTTATAACGCCACACCAGCAATCATGTCTGTCCTAGGCTTGGTGGAATACTGAAACAGAACCATAGCTTTTTAAAAATCCTTTTAAAACCACATTTCCAGGACTGCCGAGCTCAACACTTCCTTTTATCAATTTGCTGTCAACTGTATCTTTCCTTGTCTTTAAGTAGTCTATAACATCTGACGCACCAAAGGTCTAATGTGCAGGACTTTGGATTTTGGGTGTGAGCGTTTCAGCTTCACAGGTCCAGCTCCTGGAATTGATTCCAATTCGGGGCGCCCTGTCGTTGGGTTGTGGAGGTCACATGTTCTCCACTGGTTCCAATGTGGCTGCTCCGGTCCCACCCCCTCCTATTGACATGCAGGTATGGTGTGATTGGCTACTTTAAGTTCTTCCTTTCCAGGAGGAGTCTCTCAATGCAATTTCATACTCCTGGGGGACTTTATTCTCAATGCAAGCAGTGCCAACTGTACCAGGACTACAGAGAAACTGACATTGGAGCGCGATGGACACCTCTCATTCATGGCTGCCCTGATGAATTGATCTCCCTGGGATGTCGCTTACTCTAGGCCTGATGATTTCATCTCCTGTGATCACCAGCATAGAAGCTGACGTGCAGATGTGGGAGAGTCGCTGGTTGTTTTCCTGCCGCCTAACGCCAATGCATTGAACTACCAAAGAGAAGGTAGTGGCTGCCCTGATGAATTGATCTCCCTGGGATGTCGCTTACTCTAGGCCCCCCATTTTCAGGCGGAGTTTCATATGCTGGGACCAATCACTAGAGCCTGGTGAACCAAATTAAAACCAAACGTATCTGTGGCCGGTCTGATGATTTCATCTCCTGTGATCACCAGCATAGAAGCTGACGTGCAGATGTGGGAGAGTCGCTCGTTGTTTTCCTGCCGCCTAACGCCAATGCATTGAACTACCAAAGAGAAGGTAGTTCTGGGGGTTAGGGCTACTTACTCAAGACCTTGACGCCGTGCCGGAGAGACTGCACTCGGCTGGGCTCCACGGCCACACTCAGTATCGTGGCGTTTCCTCCGCTGGCACTGACCCTGCTGTCTTGGGCGGCCTGCTTGAACATCTCGATGAGCTGGTTGGCAATGATGGAGTTCAGCACGGATATCACAACCATGGGGAAAATGAAGGACAGGAATGCATTCACCTGGATAAGGAGAAGAGCAGAACTTGATTAACGTGCTTGGCCACAACTGGCTCCGCAGTGCTGTACGCCCCACGCTGATTCTGAAGAGTACTGAAAGCAAGGGGGTAAAAACAAGTCAGCAAGCTGCCCTTTTCTTCTCAAACTGTTCAGATACAGTGGCCCCGATCGCTTCGGAAGGTGTTTTTCTTTTTATAAAGATGTTAAATACGTCCCTGCAGCCTCATCTCTGACCGGCATTCACGGATTTGATATCAAGCCTGTTGGTATGAAAAACATTTCTTACTTTTTCGGGACTTTTTAAACTTTACTTTTTGATCTCGGCACAGTCTTCCAGTTTCATCTGATGCCTGTGACTCAGAAGTTGTGGATCAGTGATATTTAAAAATAACTCCGCAACATATAATAGAGAAACATAGATATGCACCACAAATACTGTATCTGGGAGATATAGTGTCATTGACTTTAAAGCATTGATTAGATATACTGTTTTATAAACAATAGACTGATTTGGTTTTCTGGGTTTGCTCAAAATTTCCTATATCTGATTCAGGCAAAAAAGTAATTTTTAATGTGTTTTTTTTTTTGTCTTTAACGTTGATGGTGGTTAATGTTTTTAGTTCGCATCTTATGTCTAAGAAAACAATTTTTCACATTATTTTATTGTATTTCATTTCTTAAATCTAACAATGTATAATTAACAGCCTTTATTGAAAAAAAATTATAGTAGGAAAGGGTTACTAATTATATAGTGTTATTAGAAAGTAAGAATGAATCGTCAAAATATATTTAATCTGTCAGGCATGTTTTTGACTACTGTTCTTGTCATTCCGTCTGTGTGCAAAGCTACAGCAGAAAACAGCATGAATTTTGTCCTTGTTCTATTGTGAAATAACTTTAAAAATAACTGATTAGACAGCTGTTACAAAAAGAATTCAATTATTTCTGGCAAGTTATAATTAAATTATCAATGGCATTTAGCTGCATCATAAGAGCAAGCTTTTATCAGCATAAGTCAGAAAACTCAGAAGGAAATTTGTAACAATAATTCTGATGTAAATTCAGGGAGGAAATTGACAAAAATAACAACTGCCAAATGTTTATTCAAGCGCACATCCATCATTAACACATAGAAAAATCACCTTCAATCAATTATTATTCAATGCAGCATACACATACTGAATATAGAGTGAGAAAAGTCTTTCATTTTCTAAAGCTCTCAAAGATTATAATGCAAAACTTTGAAATTCAAAACTGACTTTTTATTTGAGTCACAAATCATTTCCCTTAGAACTGTAGAACAGTGGCTCAACACCAATGTAAGCGCCTAGCACTCCTAAACTATAAACTATACACGGAACGTACCAAGATGCAGTATAAATAGTATTTTATTTGGTCCAAGGTGTTCATGAAGTAAAAGATTACAGCAGGACAGGCTGTGATAAAGTCACTTTTCCATTCTCGCAATCTTACAAACAAAAACATGTACGAATCCCAATAATGCACACAATACATAAAACAGCTGGTTCAGCGTTCTTGGAATGATTAGGCTGTGCTGATTTCTCATTTTGTTCATCAAGGCAAGGTACGTTGACACCAGTGTGTGCCTGGGTCAAAGATTAGATGTTGGCGTGTGATGTTCACTTCGTTTCGGATTTGCAAGTCAGATGGCGCCGTGTGAATGTTCATGTCTTTCATGTTATCATTCAGGGGGTAGAGTGAAAGTCCTGACTGAGGGACCCTCACCGCCACCTTCCAGATCGCAGCAGGTTCCCTTTGAAACAGACGATTCACAGTCGAAGTCGAAACCAAGACAGATCAAAGAGGAAAAGCGTGAGACTTCTGAGAAATTCAAATACTGTACATCTCATCTGATTGCCAACTTAACGAGGGAAGTCAAATCCTCTAATTAGACAGACGAGGGTAAACCGAGACTTTGAAATTATTCACGGTAGACTTTATAAAGTCGTACAAAGTCAGGCTTCAAAATGCTTAATTCTAAAGCTGAACTTAGTACCAAGTGGGGCGGAGCGGTGGCTCTGTGGCTCAGGATCTGCGCCTGTGACTGAAAGGTTGTTTCGTCAAATACCGCAACCAGCAGAGGAATCCTACTCCCTTGGGCCCCTGAGCAAGGCCCTTAACCCCAGCTGCTCCAGCTGTACAATGGCTGACCCTGCACTCTGACTCCAAGCTTCTGTGTGTCTTTGTGTCTCATAGAGAGCAAGCTGGGGTATGCGAAAAGACAAATTCCTAATACAAGAACTTGTATATAGCTAATAAAGTGATCTTATCTCTCTCTCTCTCATCTTATCTTAGGCTCTCGTTTGTCTTCCAGAATTCTGCAGCACATAGTTATGCATTTCTAAAGGTTTCATAAAGAAATGTTTTCCAAGATCAATACTTCTGAGCTGTGCTGGAAATAGTGCAGTTTCTTGAATATATATATTCAAAATATATTAGTATGTCAGTTCAGGTGCGATGGACAGCTTTTTATTTGCATAATCTTATTAGGTTTCAAAGTAGGCAGTGGGCAGCAGGGTACAGTCGAGCGTATTTTAAAATATTCATGAGATTTCCAATATCAACACTTAAAACAATGTTGATGCATAGAGACTCAAAAGTGCTTGTGTTTATACAATATGTTCATTTTCTTCCAGTGGGCAGGAGGAGTGTGTTTTTATCAATGTGGGCATAAACTATACAGCTAAAATTAATCAGTGTAACATTTAGGGGAAAAAATATTTTTGTGTAAGATTAGTGTTCTATCCGTAATTTTACAAAATTATGCATCCTGGTAACACCAGAGCACAGTGAAGGACTTCTAGAATGGATCGTCATGTATGACTTCATGAAGATCATACCCAAAGGAAAATCACAGCAGGGTTTTGCCTGCTTTGAGTCACCTTTGTGACATTAACAAAGGGTAAAAGCGTGACAATAATGAGGGATTTTGTGACATGTTGCAGATCTGACATGTTCCTTTCAGGACATTTAAAAATCACCCCCGTTCAGAGGCTGGAAGAAAATACATCACTGCGCTGGTGAAGCCGAGTCTTTGTTCCATACTCCTGCAACATTTGGGGGAAAGAAGAGCCTTCTGTTGTCACCACTTCATTTACTCTTGTGCCCTCTAGTTCATGTGTCATGGTTCAGTCTGGAGAAATCTGATGGGATCACCTTGTCAGTGCTTTTGAGGATTTTGAACACTTGTAGCAGTCTGCCTTGCAGTCTTTTGTGTTCAGGAATGAAAAGGTTGAGCCCCAGAATGTATCTGTATCCGCAGACACTGTGCAGCCACTGTAGAAAGTTTGCAGTGACTGCAGAGTATGGCTGGATGCATGTACTGTAAGCCTGCAGGCCAGCACACGCAGTTAATAACTCACATGGTTTATTGCTTCCATACTGTGGCAGCACTTTGAAATGTCAGGCCTTGTTTGTTACTGGAGCATTTATTAAAATTAAAGAGTTTCTTTATTGATGAGTTTTCCATCTCGAGCTCTCCACCTCCATCCCCTCCCATCTCTGGCTATAATTATATTTTGATGTCTAATTATTGCTGCCAGGCCCTTTAAATCTGTTGTGGGTTAGGGCTTGATCTAGAGGCAGGGGAGGGATGGTGAAGAATTGTGTTCGGTGGTCTGGAGAAAACCACTCGCATCAATTTTAAATTACTGTTTAGTTGTGCAGCTGTGCATTCTAGCAATAACCACAGCCTATTTATTCCAGGACATTTTGTGCCTACAGTTTAAAAAAAAAAAAATAATTAGCTGTTTTCTTATAGCTCATACTCACTCCAACCCAATGTAACACCCATTTTAATCTCTAGTCTTTCAGATTTCATGTTGATTTAAAACCTCAGCCTCCCTCCATTATTGTCTCTATTACAAGTGGATCTTAAGTGTTGTCACTGTTTACCTCTAATACTAATTCAGAGCATAAGGATCCTCTGAAGCACGAGCCAGGCTAGATCTATTTATTAAATATTAATCATTCAAATGTTTTGGTATAAGGCGGCAAATCCTTTACCTCTTTTAAGCAATACTCGGTCAATTAAGTTTGAATGTCTGCTCTATAGGGCCTCACCTCATTTATTTTGTGTACTGTATCACTCTGTGAGGTGACTGAACTTGCGTTTTTGCTTTTAGGGCCTTTTGCGTTCGAGGGAACCCTTTCAGTGTGAGGGGTGTGTGGATTGTAGGGCCTGCCAGCCCAGTCAGGCCCAGCTGTCAAACAGAAGAGTTTGTAATGCCAGGCACTGGGCTTCACTAGCCGAGTCTTTCAAAGTAGGTTATTCTTTTTGAAATATCTCATGAAATGCTCTCATCTGCCTGCTCTTAAAAATATGAAGAAGAACAATCAATCTTGTTGCGTCATTTATGTAAGAAAAATGGGACATTTAAAATATGAACGACAGGGAGTCTGAGTATCTCCAATGTGCTAAAAGTCTGTCTCTCAGCCTTTGATGTGGTGAGTATTATCACTTTGAAGGGAGATGCTTAATGCAGCCACAGTTTTTAATGTGCTGAAGCTCATCTAGCCCAGCTTGTCTTTTTGCTACATAACTGCAGTGTATTACTGATTGGAAGATTCGGGGAAAACGGACACTAATTTTCTCAAGTTTAAATTGTTTAATTAATTTTATAAAGAGGTCCTTTGATGAAATGGAGAATTATATTAATGTAGAAATTTTAATATGTTTACATTTTCATGAAAGGTGGAAACAATAATGTCCCTTCTTGAATACAAAAAAATAAATATGGAAATATGGAAGAATTGAGCAAAATATCGCCTAGGTTTGAGGATACATGAAAGTTGTCCCTGTGTGTTAAGTTAGGGGGTCTAATAAACCCTAGAATATCTTTTAAAACGTGTATTGCTAAGATTAAGATGGCAAGCATAAGGTGGTGCTGACAGCTAAACACGATACATCTGTGATGACTGTAATTAGCACTACGAACTATGGAAGCACATTGCTGCCACCAAGGAAAAAAAATCCCTGCCCT